GCGTATGCTAGTTGCACCTTTGCATGTCTTTCCTTGCATGTTTGCATGTCTTATTTGCATTTCGTTTAGGATTGCATGCTAGTTGTTGCATTGTGTTTGCATACCATGCCATTCCATGTATATTGCATTGTGTTTGGAATAGGGTTTGGTCCAAACACGGGAAACGAGGGACGTTTTGTACTCCAAGTGACGAAATGTGCCTCGATTCTCGGTCGCTGACACTCCGGATTACCCATGATGGAGTTTAGGCCTTATTGTGTTCATTTGTGCATTTATTTTACATCAAGTCGTGCAATCCGACTCCTCGGCCATCATGCATCGGGATGCGTGATTGATGGCACGAGGATCGAGGACTACACTCCCTAGAGCTTGTGCAATGATGAGGAGAGTGGTCATGCACACATTTGTTGAAAATACCTTGCTATGCCTCTCTCTTGCTTTGTGTTGCAGAAAACCAAGAACAGGAGGCAGAAACCAAGAACAGGAGGCAGAAACTGGTCGGCCGACCAGCTTTTCTGGCAGGCCGACCACCTCTTTTGGTCTCCACCACAAAAGGTGGTCGGCAGGTGGTCTCCAAGGCCAAGGGTTGGTTGGCAGCCTTCCCACAGCTTCCTAGGGTGAAGTTTCAGCCTTCTGGAGCTTTGTGGAAATTTCTGAGTTCAATTGCAAACAAAGGCGAGTCGGGGCATCGCGATGGATTTCTCGGCAAGGCGACTCAAGCATGCATGCATCCCTTATCATTCAAAGCAGAGCTGAGGCGGTCCATCATATGTAGTTTGCATGCTAGTTCATTTGCTTATTTAGTTAATTTGTTAATTAGCTAATGTTGCGTAATAATTAGCTTAATTAGCTTAGATTAGCTAGTTGGTTGTGTATTGTTCATTCGGACCCTCCGAGAGAGGGCAATGTTGTAATAAGTGTGCGTGTGTGTGATGTATGTCTTCCAACCCCACGTCTTTCTCCATTTTTATTTACTAGCTTTTGATGGTTAGTTTAGGGCATGTTTCAATTAGCATACTTATGCTCGGATGTTTGCATCATTCATCTGTATTGCATGTACCGGGCTCGGCGCATCATGCTAACTGCATTGTATTTCAATTCCAAGTTGAATACATATTATCTGTTGCATTTCATATGCCATGTTTAGAATAGCCGGGCCTATCCTAGTTGTATTTTTGCATGTGTTGCATTAGCCATCTTAACATGAACTATGATCATGCATTGATTACTAACTAGTTTCTGTTTTGGCTTGGAGTACTCGGTAAGTATTTATGCTTTAGCATCCTTACATGTGTGTGAGTGACTGCCATGATAGCATGCTTACCATGAGGCTATGTGCTTATGTGATATAACTGCCTGAATGCCTGTGGGTGAAGGTTGGATTACTTGAATTGGAAGAATTCATTGAATCCCGAATTTAGCCTACTTGCGAGTAGCAAACTTCAAACTATTTTCACAAACGAATATGCAATGTTTTGTTCTAAGTTAGGCGATCTAGTCTATACTTGTATGTTGTGCACATCACATAGTAATTCTAGGCTAATAAACCGAAATAAGAGCACATAATGTTTTCAAAACTCAATATCATGGTTAGTAGAGGCCGATCTTTGATCGGGCGAGCGGGGGTGCTCATGAAGTGACCTTCCCCAATCGTACCCAAGTTCCCGAGCCGAGACAACTTTGGTGATGACGGACACGTGGCCTTAGGCACGAGTCAGGGTTTCTTAAATTCCCCCAAAATAAAATGTTTAGGTGGCGACTCTGTATCTGGAAAAGTAGTCCATGTTTGGCACTTCTTTCTAAAAATCAATTTTTCAAAATGATTTGCCGGATTTGGACTCTTTGATGATTCATCGGTCTTGCATTGCACTCCGCGAGATTAGATACAGGACCGTGACATTGAGTCTCGAGCTGTAGTGAGCCCAAATGAACAAAACGAGATTCCCTCCCGGGGCGTTCGGGGACGTCTACACCAGGTTTTCACTCAAATTGACTAAGAATCTGAGAACATTAACAACAGTCGTACAAAAATCAACATTGAAACCTAAATTGAAAGCAATAGGATATGATTAACTAGGGTTTTTTTTTTTTTTAAATTGATTCAGATTGAAACCCAAATTGAAACCAAGAGAATATGATTCACTGAGGTTTTTTTACTCAATTTGTCTAAGAATCTGAGAACATTCACATCAATCACACCAAAATCAACAATGAAAGCTAAATTGAAACCAATAGAATATGATTAACTAAGGTTTTTCACTGAAATTGATTAAAAATATGAGAACATTGACAACAATGGTACCACACTCAACATTGAAACTTAAATTTAAAAGAATGAGATATGAATAAGTAGGGTTTTTCACTCAAATTGATTCAGAATATGAGAACATTCACAACAATACCAGCAAAATCAATATTGAAACTTAGATTGGAAGCAAGAGAACATGATTAACTAGGGTTTTCAGTCAAATTGATTGAAAACTTGAGAAAATTCACAATAATCATGTCAAACTCAATATTGAAACTTAAATTGAAATCAAGAGAATATGGATTAAGTTCGGGTTTTCACCCAAATTGACTAAGAATCTGAGAACATTAACAACAATCGTACGAAAATCAACATTGAAACCTAAATTCAAACCAAGAGAACATGATTCACTAATGTTTTTTACTCAAATCGTCTAAGAATTTGAGAACATTCACAGGAATCGTGCCAAAATGAACATTGAAAGCTAAATTGAAACCAGAGAATAAGATTCACTAAGGTTTTTTACTCAAATTGTCTAAGAATCTGAGAACATTCACAGGAATCATACCAAAATCAACATTGAAAGCTAAATTGAAACCAGAGAATAAGATTCACTAAGGTTTTTTACTCAAATTGTCTAAGAATTTGAGAACATTCACAGGAATCGTGCCAAAATCAACAATGAAAGCTAAATTGAAACCAATATAATATGATTAAGGTTTTTGACTAAAATTGATTGAAAATATGAGAACATTGACAGCAATGGTACCACACTCAACATTGAAACCTAAATTGAAAGGAATAGGATATGATTAAGTAGGGTTTTTCACGTAATTTTAGTAAGAATCTGAGAACATTAACAGCAATGGTACCCAAATCAACATTGAATCCTAAATTGGAAGTAACAGAAGTTGATTAATTAGGGTTTTTCACTCAAATTCAATATGAATCTAAAACATTAACAACAATGGTACTAGAATCAACATTGAAAACTAAATTGAAAGTAAGAGAACATGATTAACTAGGGTTTTTCACTCAAATTCACTAAGAATTAGAGAATATTCATAGCAATCGCACCAAAATCAACAATGAAACCTAAATAGAAGGCAAGGAAACATGATTAACTAGGGTTTTTCATTCAAATTCACTAAGAATCTAAGAATATTAACAGTAATCGCACCAAAATCAACATTGACACTTAAATAGAAAGCAAGAGAACATGATTAACTAAGTTTTTTCACTCAAATTCACTAAGAATAAGAGAATATTCACAGCAATCACACCAAAATCAACAATGAAACCTAAATAGAAAGCAAGGAAACATGATTAATTAGGATTTTTCACTCAAATTCACTAAGAATCTGAGAATATTAACAGTAATCGCACCAAAATCAACATTGACACTTAAATAGAAAGCAATAGAACATGATTAAGTAGGGTTTTTCACACAAATTCACTAAGAATCTGAGAATATTCACAGCAATTGTACCAAAATCAACAATGAAACCTAAATAGAAAGCAAGGCAACATGATTAACTAGGGTTTTTCACTCAAATTCACTAAGAATCTGAGAATATTAACAGTAATCGCACACTTAAATAGAAAACAATAGAACATGATTAACTAGGGTTTTTCACTCAAATTCACTAAGAATCTGAGAATATTCACAGTAATGGCACCAAAATCAACAATAAAACCTAAACAGAAAGTAAGGGAACATGATTAAGTAGGGTTTTTCACTCAAATTCACTAAGAATCTGAGAATATTCACAGCAATCGCACCAAAATCAACATTGAAACCTAAACAGAAAACAAGAGAACATGATTAACTAGGGTTTTTCACTCAAATTCACTAAGAATCTGAGAATATTTATAGCAATCGCATCAAAATCAACAATGAAACCTAAACAGAAAGCAAGGGAACACGATTAACTAGGGTTTTTCACTCAAATTCCCTAAAAATGTGAGAATATTCACAGCAGTCGCACCAAAATCAACATTGAAACCTAAATAGAAAGCAAGAGAACATGATTTTTGTGGCATTACAATGAATGTTCTCAGATTCACAAACAAAAACAAAAACAAAAGTTTTGAAAACACAAGTTTCGAAAACACAAGTTTCGAACTCAACATTCAAGCTGAAATGGAAATAAAAAACAAAAGGTTAGAAAATGAAAGTTTCGAGCTCAACATTCAAATTGAAATGGAAATGAAAAACAAAAGTTTTGAAAATGAAAGATTTCGCAAAAACTAGGGTTTAAGATACTTGAAGCTTACTTGTTTTCACCATTTTTGGTTGTTCGGATATTTGAATGTTTGATGATCTAGTTTGTTTTTGTGAAATTTGAGACGAGATTGATGAAGCAAGGCGAGATTGATGAAGGAAGACGAAATGTGAGGCGAAATTGATGAAGGTGAGAATGAAATCTGCGAGTGTGAGAAATGGCGGGATGAACTGTCAATGAAATCGTAAATCTGCGATTTTTGTTTTGTGTTTTGATTTGGTAAGGGTAGTTTCGTCATATTAATGGATTATGGGACTTACTGGTTAAAAGTTTTCGAACTAGGACTTAATAGACCATTATTTGCTAAAACGGGACTTACCTATAAATCATCCTTATATTAAATATATAAAATGTACAGGGTAGATCACGAAATTATCAGAACTTTTGAGGCAATGAAATGAATGTGAAACATCTTTTTTGTAGTCTGTTTTATTTTTATTTTTGCTGAAAAGCCCCTAAAACATGAGAGGTTTTGTTGGGGTTTCGCTCGGTCGAGAGAGACTCTGAACATTTGCCCTAGCCGCCGTCGCACCGCCACGGCCACTGCCACTGCCACTGCCACCGCTGCACGTCGCCGTCGCCGCCGTTGCTATCTCCAATCCGCCGTCGGCTAATCGTTGAAATCTCCCTGGAATTGATTGGTAGTTATTCCTTAAACCTTCATTGTATATATATATATATATATATTGTATCTCAGTTATTCAAAGTTTCTGATTCGTAATTTTAAGCTATAAAAATCTACGATTCACAGTTCTTAACTAATAAAATTTCAAGTTTCTCGACCTTTCCTTCATTTTCTTGGCTACCAAATGCACACACATTCATTGACCTCTATGTTTGTTTGTTATATGCTGGCTTATGTGTGTGTGTGTATATATAGATGTGGTTAATGCCCTAGTATTTTTCGACAATTCATACTCGTTATTATGAAAATTGCAGAAATTTTACAACTCGGCTGTTCTCGGTGGGGCAATATCAGAAGGGTTTTGTTTTCTTTATTTTCGTCTCTAGGGCTTTAGGCTTAGGCTCTGTTTCGGAAGATGATTCGAGTAATCGATGCTAAGAAATTGAAACATCTGAGCTCATCTGTAGAGTTCTTAAGCCATCAATTCATTCAAAGATGCTCCGTAAGTGGAACTGCAAAAGGGAAAGGGAAATTGAAAGCCGCTGCGCCATTGAAGCGATCAATAGTTTCCACCAAAAAGGGAAAATCGAGTGGAGAACCCTCTCAAAAAGGGGGAGGAGAGAGAGGAAGAAATGGATTTGAAAAAATGCTTGATGATTGCTTGAATGCTACAAGTCCTGTGAGGTATTTGAAACCTAAAGAAATCGAAAGAGAAGCCGAGAGAGAGAAGATGGGGCTTATTAGCAAAGCTCGAGCCAAAGAAGTTGAGATGTTGAAGAAGAAGAAGAAATCAGAGATTGATTCGCCTATGATGGTTGGGACACCGGGTTTGGATCTAATCACATTGGGTTTGGTTGATGCTGATTTGATTCCCAAGTATGAATTGACAGTCGAAGATGGTCGGAGGCTGGCGAAGGAGTACAGTAGGGTTTTGATGAGGAGGAACCGAGCAAGACAGGCGGCGGAGTCAAATTTGTTGAGGTTGAAAAAGGAGGCAATTGAGGCATTGCCTGAGGGTTTGAAAGCTGCAGCTTTGGTCCCAGATTTGAGTCCGTTCCCAGTGAATAGGTTTATGGCTACCTTGACACCACCCATTGAAGGGTACATTGAGAAGATAAATGAGGCGGCGAAGAAGAGTTCTGGGAAGGAGAAGCTCAGATAATGAGAGGTTAGGTTTGTTATTAAGTTATTATTCTGACTGAATTGTTATTAGAAGTTTATGATTGATATGTAGGAAAATTTGTTTGTTAGAATCATACGATTCACTATTCAATTCAATACGGGTTTCAACAAAAATGACTCATATAGTGTTGTTGAATTGGAAATTGAGTGAATTGTGCGATTCCATTTATTATGGGGGCTTTCTGGTAGTGTGTTATCTGCATGATGTAGGAATGTTGTGCTCATAACTTTGTGAGATTGGATATTTCTATGGGTGCTAACTACCTCACCTAATGTCTTTATGAAGTTCAATGAGTTTAGGGGAAGCACAAAGATAACAAAGAACAGTTAAAACTGCTAGTAACATACTTGTGCTTTGATTAGTTAAAATTATGTCATGTCAATTTGCCCACTAACAACTATCTAGAAACTCAAGTTGTTTTTTTCGTTAAATGACTGAGACATGTGGCTTGCATGATATTTCATGTTCATTTTATGATATCTGTTAACGGGGTACACATGTATAAACGGGAAATTGATTTAAAAGCTTTGGGTGTCGCATAATGCATTCTGATCTGTAGAGGTAGCAAAATTTTCAGCTTATAGTAGCTAATGTTTATCAGTGAAAGAATAAGCTAGCTGGGGAGACTGGTCCACCAAATGTACCAGTTTAATGTCTTTGTAGGTATAGTACACCGTCCCACCAAGTTAACTCTCATCTGGGCTATATATATCACTTCAAAACAAGCAAGAGAATATATGAAAACCAAGTATGGTAGTATGCAATTGGTTTTGATAATGAACTGAGGGTGTGAAGATGCATATCAGGTGAGACATTGTCCCGTTAGAAATTGTTCATCATCTCTGACAGCCACTATTTTAATGTGGCTGTTATGATTCCCACTGTACTGACAAGTGGGAGGAAAGTAGGCCATCCTAATAAGGATACCTTGAATTGTGAAAGAGGTTTTGTGTAGAATTTTCTCCTGCAGGGTGGAGAAAAAAAAATGTTGGTATTCATTATCAAAATTGATCTTGCCATTAACCTTGAAAATTTGAACGAAAATCTCCATTAGTTCTCTTTAGATTAATTAGGCATATAACTTCAGAAACTCAGCTCGGCTGTTTGAATTAATGTATGCTTTAAGCACTTAACATTGAATTGAATATCAAATTCAAAATTGTTTTGTCTATTGGAATGGCAAATAGGAAAAAAGAAGAAGAAGAAAAGACGAGGATAATTTCATTTTGTTTATTTCTTGTTTGACAATGAACAACTTGTTTAAAAGGCTGATCAGCACTAGGATCTCTAGAATCATCTAATCTGTGCTGTGTTGTGTGCAACAATTGTAGGTTAAGATTCGTTGTGTACAGATCAACACATTTTGTTGGGGTGTTAGACCTTATACATTTGCTTCTATTTCAGACCTTGAAGGGCTCATTTCAAAACGTCTCCATGTAATCTTCCAACTTTGAGTTAACCTAATCATTTTATTCACTCCACAACGAAGGTTTGGCTGGCATATACACATAAGTGGACTATGATATGATTCACTGGTTTGATCTCACATTTAACTTCCGTTCATTTTCAGAAAGGTTTAATTACATAAAGTTGCAGTAAGAAAACTGAATATTACTTTACTATCTTCTACTGACAGTGCTCTAGCTTTTCCATTTATTTTGTTTTATTCTATTTGTTTGGCAATTTTATGATCTCCAATTATAGCTAGCTTTTTATACCTCATTTCATTCCTCATTAAAACCTGCTAGAAGCAGGGATGTTCAATATATTCACGCCATCGCTTTGGCTACTTGATTAGAAATGACGCTTCACATTTGATATTGGATGTTCCATTCATGTGGCAGTTTGTAATATGTTTAACTATATAAAAGTTTTAAGAAAAATAAAAAGAGAGAGAGAGAGTGTAATGTGTTTCTTTTTAGTTGAACTCCCATGTTTTCCTTGCAAGCTCTTAAGTCTTGCCTTCCATCCCACTCCTAAGAGTGGATCCCAAGACCTCCCCTTGAAAAGATGGTTAAAAGCTGACTTTTTAACTTTTTTTGATTTTTATTGAAAAAATGTGTAAAAAATGTGAGATGATGAGACTCAAAATGGGTTAAAAGTTGGCTTTTGGCTTTTAAGTGGCTTCCCAAAAGGCTAGTCACACATGCTACAACCCCTTGGTTGAATGTAATGTGTTTCCTTGATATACGGAACAGAAAGCTTTACATTTCGGTCATGGTTTTTTTATTTTATTTTTTGTGTTTTTTTGCTGCAATTCCTTTTGGTCATCTATAACTTCAATTTAGGTGTGAAATGTGCTATATCTATCTTTTTTATTTATTTTATTTATCCTTTCTTGGCACGTAACAATTCATGTTGAGATGTTATTTGCCAGTTTGTGTTATTACAGAGAATATGCTATCATCGGCGTATTAAAGTTCGTCTATACTCAGCAACCAATTGCTATATTTTGTCATCATTATCCACTTAGGTATATCTTTTTGCATTCTATGTTGCCGCAGATGGAGAACGCCTTCGGTGCAACTGAGCAAATTGTATTTCTTGTTGGTGGTTGCTGGAATCTGAAGCTCGTGTCTGTTTCATTCGAAGCATCGAAAAGCCTAGGTGATCCTCCAATAATCTTGTGGAATATTGTTCCGTGAATAATCTTGCGTACTTCAGTGAATAATTTTGTATTTCTTACTTGTTATGATCGATCTCCTTGAGTTAATGAAACTGTTTGAAAAAATGGCTTTAGTTAATGAAGTTGTTTAAGCTAAATGACAGGTTTCTGTGTTGAATGTGTCTTGTTATTGCTTCTGGATATTGGAACACATGCTTCAGTTATCTGCGGTCTGTTAAAAAAGAGAAGCAGCTCATGTTATAATGCTAATGCATCGTTTGTACGTAACAAACAAATAAATGAAGCAAGCTCTCGTGTTAGGGCTGAAAATAAATTGAGCTTTTTACGAAATGCTTGGGGAAATCTTGAGCTTGATTTGTTTAAAACTTATTTGAATTTGACTTGTTTGATAATTGAATCAACTCGAGCCAAAATTTTAATCTCGTATAGTAATCGAACCAAGTTCCCTCAGAGTTTGGATATTGCTCGTGAATAAGAACATAATATTTGTTTTTAATAATATATAAAAAAATATATATTTTTAATTTATTATTTTCCTATTTATATTTAGTGCTTTTGCAAATTTATATATTTTGATTGTTAATAATATATAAAAAAAAATATTTTTAATTTATTTTATTTTCCTATTTATATTTAGTGCTTTTGCAAATTTATATATTTTGATTGATGATTTTTTTTATTTATATGAATATTCTTTTATATTTTGCTCATATCTTCTTCGTTTTCTCTTTCTCTTTCTCTCTTATGCTGTGTTTAAATCATGAATTTTGGTAGGATCTCTATCCAAATATATGATCCAAACACAACCTTAATATATATTAAATTAAGTTCAATTTCCTCCTTCCTCCCATTTTCTAGTATAAACTTCAAGAGAGGTGAGAGAAATGCTTTCAATAAAGAGTTATTAAAAATAAGTGAAAACAAAAAAAAAAAATCAAAATTTGATTATTGTAATAAAATAAATTTTTAATTTTAACTTTAATATTTTGATTTGTTTTTAATCTAAAAATTTGTTTATTTCCGTTAAATAAAATCAATAGAAAATAGTATTTTAACTATTAAATTTAATGTAATTGTACATAAATATTTGCTCTTTCATTAAGTTTAATGACTACAATTTTATGTTTTTTGATTGGGTTTAGACGAGGAAAATATAGATATAGTTTAGATTGAAAATAAATTTAAATTTAAATTGATAAAATTAAAAGATTTATTTTATTTGAAGGTTAAAACTTGAGAATTTTTTTAATACTATTATTAGTATTATTATTATATTAGATTTAAATTTCTACATATATGATCTCATGATTTACTGTTGAGGTGGTGAAGGCCAATTAGCGGCTGCTAAGCGGCAAATCTCTTCTTGGATCTGCTCTTCAGTTAATCTTATTTTTTGATTAATAAATTCTAATTGCTTATTAATATGTGCTTGTAAATACCAATCTTGTAATTGGTTTGAGCATGAGTTACGACGTTGAATATAAAATTCTAATACTTCACGTAATTCAACAAGTAAATTTACAGACATACATAAATATAAAAAAAGAGAAGAAAATACTTACAATCAGAGTCTTCAAAACAGCATAGTTCGTCAATACTTAATTTATATATCATAAACTGAACGTGTGGCTCAAGAGTGTATCTAGTGTCTTAGTCAGACGTGGGGTGTATGGCTGTGTGTTAGGTGTTAGGTGGGGGCTTAAGAGTGTGTTCTATTTTACTCCATTTCTTTTTTCTTTTTTTCTCTAGTTGCTTTTTAAAATTTAAAACCGTGAGGTTAAGAGGTTGGTTGTAAGAACGCGAGTAACAGTAGTAGGAGAGTGAATTTTTACTTTTCGAATCTCTCTCAATGCGTTTTATCTCCTTGTACCTTCAAATTTCATATTTAATGAAATTTTTCTTTGTCAATAAAAAAAAAAAAAATCATAAACTGAGAAAATTTACAAGAGAGGAAAGAGAGGTACACTCCAAAGCACTCTGAAAGAGAAAATCTTAAAGTTAAAAAAAGCTCTGCCTCAACAAGGGTGAAGGTATCCCTTAAATAAATAAATAAAACAATAGTAAAGGTAAGATAAGGTAGAGGACAGGTGGTGTGTCCTGAATAGCTAGGAGTCGATCGGCCTTATCCTCATGGCTGAGTGGTTTTTACTTTTGACTCAGCATCCCTATCTTTGTTGAGATGGATTGGGACAACTGGACAGTCCTGTGCTGGATGACAGACTAAGTATCTGTTTTTCTGAAAATATCTTCACTGTTGGTTGTCATTTTATGCCGACACTCCTAGTGAATCTTACTGGTAGGGGAACAAAGGCTCATGCTTTGCCTTTTCTTTTTTTATCTTTTTCCCTGTCAATCTTTTCGGCAATCATGCTGGTAAGTAAATCCCAAAAATCACCAAAAGTTGTGTTCATCATCTACAGGGTCCTGTGATTCTCCGGCTATAACAGTAAATTCATTTTCATCAGGGTCTGGATCTTCTTGGTCTTGACTGCTAGTAACGAATTTCATGGAGGTGTCGTCATTGGAAATAATTTGGAGAAATTATTCCTTCATGAAATCCATGCTTTTGATAACTAGTTCTGTTTCTAACAAATTCGAATATTTTTGGCGTAATTCTGTTTGGATTTGTAAAAAAGGGTTTTGAATAACCGGTTGGCTAGGAATTGTTTTGGGAACAACATCCCAACAAGCTTGAGCATGTGCCTTGATCTTTTGGACAGTTTCTGGTAGAGTGGGATTCATACCATTGTCCCACCATCTCACAAAAAAACTCTTTTGAGATGTGGGATTTTATTATGGTAATCGCACTGGAAATCCCATTTCCATATCCATGGAATACTAAAATGGATGGTAAAATGAACCAGGGATTTGGTCATGGAAATATCTAATTGTCCTGGTAAATGAGAATAAGCAATTTGCCATTCATTAACAGCTTCACGGATGGATACTGGTAAAACCTCAAGTTGTAACCCAAATTTATCCCACCAAACGAGAAACCAATTAGGTAAATCGTTTTTGAGAACATCGGGACAAATACGGATAAACCAAGAGTGATTGCGAATGGGATTCTGGTAATAAAAAGCATAAGTAAATGCATCGATATAGTCTCAATAACTGTAACGAGTTTCCTTGTTACGAATGTCAAGTTGACGAGTGTTGTGTAGATGAATGCCCTATGTAGAAATGAGCATGATATTGCGGATTGTCGTTTTACTAAATTGGATAGGACTGGCAGTTTTGGAAGGATTATGAAAAGTATGCTTGATTTCTATGGCAGTAGTCTCAATGAGTATCTGTTCACAAATATAGCGGTACTGGTCAAAATGGGGAGAAAATTGTTGAGTCGTAAGATAACGACGCTTAATTTCCAATGGATCAGTCATCCATTTTTCATCTACTAGTTCGATATAAAGAATTGTTTCTTTAGTAATACTGTTAGGAATGTACTGTTTAGGAGTAAGGAGGACATCCTTAGCAGATTGACTAGAGGATTCCCCTTTATTACTGTTAGAGGCTTGTAGCACTAGAAATTCTGTTGTATATGGATCCTGGTAAGGGTTTCCCCTGCCTCAGCCTCGACGACTTGGGCCATGGCCACTTCTACTGGTCATGATCCCTGCAAATATTCACGGGTTAAAAAGTTTGGTAGAGAGTTCTACCTTTAATATATTCAATATCAAAGTCAAATGCTGATAATGTACTCTGCTAATTTGTAAATATCTGTTTGGCTGCTAAACAATCAACACGAATTAAAAATTGTTGATTTAATAGGTCATCCAGAAATTTTAAAACACATTTAACAATTGTTAAACATTCTTGTTTAATCATTGGATAATTTAAAGCAGCTTTAGTCCAATTTTCTGATGTAAATCTTAATAACTCTTCTTTTTGGCTGGTAGGGTTAAACTGTTTTAAATACCTCCATAACCATAGTTAGAGGCGTCAGTTTCCACTATTTTATTCCATTCTAGATTTGGTAAAGCAAGACAGGGAAGTTGTTTTACTTTAGTTTTCATTTTCTGTACTGCAGCAGTGTGCGCATCTGTCCAATGAGAAGGATTTTTCTTTAATCTAGTGCAGAGGATAACAGTATCCTAGGATAACTGATGATAATAGTCTCTAATATAATTTAGACTACCGAGAAATCTCTGTAATTGAGTTTTATTTTTTATTTCATCTGGAAATTTGGAAGCAAACTCTATACTTCTGTCAATTGGTATAATAGTTCCATTATGAATATTATGACCAAGAAAACGTATTGTTGTTTGAAAAAGTTTCATTTTTGCTGTAGATATAACTAAACCATTTCTGATAATAACATGCTTAAAAATATTAAGATGTTTAAGATGTTGGTCTATTGATGAAGAGAAAATAAGAACATCATCAATATAACAGATAAAGAATTATGTATAAGGAGACAATACATCATTCATAGTATGCTGGAATTCGAATGGTGCATTTTTTAAACCAAAGGGCATAACATTTCATTTATAATGTCCAAAAGGTACAGTAAAAGCAGCTTTATACATATCCTGTTCTGCAATTCGTACTTGCCAATATCCTGATTTTAAGTCAAATTTACAAAATATGATTGCATCCTGTAATCTATCAAGAAGATCTTTTTTATTCAGAATGGGATATCTAATCCATTTTAAGGCATCATTAAGAGGTTTATAATTAATAACTAATCTTGGCACATCTCTTTCAATTTCTGCATTTTTATTGACATAAAATGCTATACAACTCCAAAGAGAATGACTAGTTCTGATCAACTTCTTTTGGAGAAGATTTTGAATTTCTATTTTGCATATTTCTAAATATTCTTTTTTCATTTGATTAGGGCGATCTCTAGTTAGGATAAATCGTTCATCAAAGTCTGGTTCGTACGCAAGAGAAACTATGTGTTTTTTCCTTTCCCAAAAAGCATTGGGAATATCACTGCAAATTTCTGTTTGAAATTCTTTTTCAATTAATTTAATTTTATTCTGTAAAGACGACTGTTGTAATCTTTGCTCAATAGTGAGGTAATTAATTTCTGTTTGAAGAAAATTAATTTGTTTTTCTTTGAAATTAACTAGATCTTTGATTTGATCTAATTCTTTGGTATAAGGTTCTGTTATGAACTCAAAGATAATAGATTGATTACTGATGGTTGTGTGAATGCCTATGAAATCTATCTTGGTGATAGGCATTAGTAAACACAGAAATGGAGTCTCTAAGATAATGCTTTGAGACATGTTTCTGATAAGAACAAAAGTAGTGGGAAGATATATGCCTTGATTACAGATGAAAGCTTCTGATAGAATTAC